ATGTCTAATGAAGCACTGTAATGTGTCTGCTATGAACAGAGGCATTTTCAGATACTTCGGAAAGTTTAAAATATGACAAAAATAATCAATATACATCCCATCGGGAAAAAAACCCCACAGTATAGGACTTCAATTAAAGTCTGGTCAAGTGTGTGAATCAAGGAAGGTCAGAACATGCCTGTAATACCTTAACTGAACAAGCAAAGCTTGCATGCAATTGAAATGAGCAGGACTATACATTTGAGCAAGGGCAGTGGGAGCAGGCTTAGAATATAATTCAGTTACATCTCAAAAAAATATTAGGCTGCATGCATCAGTTAAAATTAGATTTCAGACTTTCCATCCTCATTTTCAATGCCCAGTCTTATGCTTCTACCAGATGGTAGGACTTTATCTGGAAATCTGCTCCGTATTTTGACAATATTTAGTTCACCATTTAGACAACATTGCACTAGGAAAAAAAAATTATGTTAGAATAATGCATTCCTTAAGCTGTCTTGCTGTGAAACTGCCATTAAGAGTTAAATACCCCTCCAAGCCTCAAGGAAACACTTCTTTCAACATGATTATAGCAAATGACAGGCAAAACTTTGAACCTTGTTGTTCCAAGCACTGTAGAAAGACAGTAGCCAGGTCGCACGGAGCAGTCACATGGGTTTGAGTTAGACATGCACAGAAGCAGAGCCACTGCCCTACTGTGTGGCTACAAGCACAGGGTAATCAGAGGGAAGCTTCTGTTCTTGATTTGTTCCAGGAAATTCACTCCCTGATAGCCGCTGCCCTAAAGAGCTTGGAGGGAGCTTGAAGTAGACAAATGTAACTATTAAGCAAGTTAAGAACACAATGGGATGCAGATTTCAGCTATCCCCAATCAGGTATACAAGTGTGATTTCTGTTTAAGAAGGCCTAACTAAATGGAAAGAAAGAGGGAGAGGGAATGAAGATTAAAAGAAGCAGGGCTGTAACAAAAATGGCCTCTGCCAGTAAGATCTCTGCTTCTCAAGGAAATTATCTGCTGCAGCTGCTAAGGCAGGCTTCAGTTCCAGCTTGTTCACTGTTCAGGTTTCTCTCTTCTTTTGCTCCAAATCCTCCACTTGACTGGGGAAAAGCAGGGATGATGGATAAATCCCATTTGTCCATCGATCTCCACTTGTGAGGGAAGCTATGTGGATCCAGCTGAATCCTGTTTAATTTCCCCAACCTGTGCAGCAACAGCAGCCAGGAACCAAGGTCATAAATGTTTAAATTTCATACAATTTCATGCATGTCTAGGAAAAATTTTACTCTTTTAGTTCAGAGGTGTGCAACAAGGTATTTCTTCAGGTGCATAAAATCACTTCAAAAGACAGTTATTAAAAGAGGCTCCTGCAGGATTTGGGCAAGGTCACAGGAAAGATATTTACAAAACACAGACTTTTACAAATATATGCATACAGATGTAAAAGCGTGATCATATGAGTGCTCTATGGACAATAAAATAATCATCCATAATTATGACTCAATTACAATCTTATTATAAAGTTTATTACAGTCTTAAGGATGTTGGGGTAGAAACGGATAATTGCCTATTATAATGAATAAATGAATTAGACAATATGCAGCATTCAGTGCTAAATTAAAAATAGAAAATGCATCATAATGATGAGACGGTCTATTCAAATTAAGAGAAAAAATTCCATCTGTCACACTACATTTTGCCAGGACGTGCACATGGAAAATGACAATGTTCTTTTAATAGTCACAGAATCATGGAAACAGTCACATTGATCCCATCTTTCAGCTAATGAGTAACTGATTTAAAAATCATATTAATAACACAACAATGAATAAAATATTGACTACATTCTTTACTTCAGCCATATGTGTCCAGGTATTTTTAGAAAGTTGTTTAAGTGTAAAATACTGCTTTAAAATTACTATTTGTAGCAAAAACTGTTTATCCTGATGTTTCTGTGTGACACAGACTACAAACCAAACCTACTTATGAAAAACTCCCAGTGATTTTAGCATCCCAAGCTCCTACATGCTTGTACACTCATAGAAACCTTCTTCTGAAGTCTTTTGGCACTTGCCTACTGTGCTTTGCAGGGGCCTCTGCATATTTCTGGTGTTACCAGGATCTACCTCTTCTTCCTGAACTAGTGAACAAGGTTTCACCATGTTTTTTATATCTCTGTTAACACCTTAAATTATAATGGCTATGTTATATACCCACTGATCAAAGGTAAACCCACAAATAATGTGCTTAACCCACAAATGTGTTTATTGCATCTTTCTTTTCTCAATGTTTAGGGCAAAAACCCCAAACATAAACATGACCAATTTAAATAATTACATTGTTTGATGTCTAGTTAAATGAATATATACTAAAATGATCATATGCTTTTCACAGATCTCAATCCAAGTTCTTTTCAAGATGGAAAAAGATATATGTGAAAATATCTTGGAGTGTTCAAGGTCAGGCTGGATGGAGCTCTGAGCAACCAGGTTTACTGAAGATTGTCCCTGTTTATGGTAGAAGGGTTGGAACTAAATGGTCTTTAAGGTCCCTTCCAACCCAAACCATTCCATGATTCTGTGATCTATTTCTCAACATTTTCTCTGTTAGTAGCTAACAGTGATAGCAACATGCATTATTGTCTCTCACTCTTAATTGCTGGTTGCTATAGAAACTCAACACTGATTAGGATGAGGAACATGACCCCCAGAAAATATGCAATGAATTGAAATTATTAATCCCGCCCATTCAACCAACAAGAATGAGGGCAAAGAAATACTGATCTTCTGATAGAAAAGCAGAGCTAGAGACAAGGATGGCAAACCCAGTATGTATTCTAGGTATGTGTGTGAGGGCTAACCATTCAGAAAATTATCTTTCTCAGATCCAGACGATGCTATTGAACAAGACACCTAGAGAAGGCATCTCTCAATATTTGCAATATCTTACATTACTTGCTTGTGTATAATTCTCTCAGATTTTATTAAATTTAGGGCAAGATTAGTTAGGAAATTTGAGAATAACAATTGAACAAATGGTCTTGCCATATGACATTTAAAAGAAAAGAACTTAGAAAGTCTGCCAATCCTCTTGTGGGAACAGAGGATATAGTGACTTTTTTTTCATTCTATAAAACGTGTCCTTTAAATATTTACTAGTCTTGTATTTTCTACATGTGGCCACATCCCAAGCAAAAGCCCTCTACCTCTCTCTAAAGTATGCTTAAGAACATTCACTGCATATGTAATAAGAGTATTAAAGGATCCAGATGTGAATTAGAAAAACAACAGTGTCTATTATAGCTGAATTTCAAACTACTGGAGTAAGATCAAGCAGGAAAGTTGTGGTCTATTCCAGAGCACCACCCACACAATTCTCTGAGCAGGATACCAAATGACAGTAAATGTAACCAGCGAAATGCAAAACAAAGCTGTCACATCTGATTACATTCCCAGTGTCTGAATGGACAACAGACAAGAGATTTTCTCGATCTTCTCAAGCGCTTAAAATAAACTTTGTATTGATGTAAAGCCACACATATAATAAATTTCTAATTAACAATTTTTTTTTTTTGCCATAAATCATCTCATATGATTCAATAAACTTGAGGAATACTTACAGGACTGTTGTGTGGGAATAAATTAAAGGTTCTCTTTTGAAATAGAAGCAGTTTATTTTTGCTCTCCAAACTTCAGAGAAGTAAAATTCCAAGCTGTATTGCAGAAGAGGTGTTAGCAGAAAACAATACCCACACAGTGCTGTTGAAACAGCAATGACTGCAGTTTAAGCAATGGCAACAAATAAACTATTAATTTTGAGAGACTATACAATTAGTGTTATACTTAATTTTGAAAACCTTTTTCTTGCTTTGGGAAGTACTGCCAGGCAAGACAAATGAGCAAATGTGTCAACCTCCACCATTTCTAGGAAGTCAGGATTTCTAATTTTTAATATGTAATGGACAAATATATTTCTCTTCGATTTTTAAACCTGATTATAAAGTATTTGCTTTGAAAACTGGTGAGCAAGTTTAGGCACTCAGTCTGTGAGGCTGAGTCCATCCCAGCCTGCGTAGGACAGGCACAACCATCGCTGCTGTTTGCCAGGGCACAGGAGAGCCCTTTGGATCAGTACAGACTCTGTGCACGTCTGCAAACCCTTCCTCAGGTATGTACAGCCCTTAGCTGGTGTCACATTTACCCCATGGCGAGGGAGATTCTGCAGCACCAGCTACTGCAAACACAGGAGGGCTCGGGCTGACTACTCAGGTGGTGGAGTCACAGTCCTGGAGGTGTTTAAGGAAGGACTGGACGTGGCACTCAGTGCCATGGTCTGGTTGACATGGTGAAGATTGGTCATAGATTAAAAGACCTCTGAGGTCTTTTCCAGCCTAATTGATCCTGTGGTTCTGTGAATCCCCATCTCCAGGGGAGCAGGAGGGAACTCGCTGGCGGCTGCATGAAGGGACGGGGCGTGGGAAGCTGAGGGAAGTCGCAGGACAGAGAAGATTCAGATCAGGTATTAGAAATAAAAAATGTTTCATTGTTGGGCTGCTCAGGCATTGGAATAGGTTGCCCAGGGAGGTGGCGGAGTCACCATCCTCGAAGGTGTTTAGGAGGCGCCTGGATCTGGCGCTGGGCAATGTGCTTTAGTGGTTACAGTGCTGTTTTGGTGGTTGGACTTGATAATATTAAGAGGTCTTTTCCAACCCTGACGATTCAACCATTCTCTAGGACGCTGTGAGGGCTCTGGAGAGGCAACGGTGCCCGGAGAGCCGAGGGAGGTTGATCATGAGGGAAAACGCCGCGAGCTCGCCGCTCACAGGCGCAGATCACGGATCAGGGATCCAAGATCACGGATCAAAGATCACGGATCACGGATCCAAGATCACGGATCAGGGATCACAAACCACAACGCTGTACCGGCCGCCACACACCCCCTCCCACGCACCACTGCGCGTGCGCCAGACCTCCAGGCCGCCAGGGGGCGACGCGCGGGCGCCGTCAGTTCCCCGGTCCGCGCGGGGCCGGGCCGGGCTCCGCCACAGCAGCGCGGCCGCTCGGGCGGGCCGGGCCGCGGCCATGGGCAAGAAACACAAGAAGCACAAGTCGGACAAACACCCCTACGAGGGTAGGTCCTTACAGGGCGGGCCCTCAGCCCTCGGGCCGTTTGGGAAGTTGGGTGTGTGGCTGCGGCAGCGCGGGGGGAGCGCGGCCCTGGCTCCGCCGGCGGGCCCGGGGCGGGGAGATGGGCGTCGGGGTCGGCTCTGTGTGGGGGAGAGGCAGCAGGAGGGTCTGGAAATCAAACCTGGGGCAGTGACAGCCTTTGGAAGGAGCCAGAGGCGGCGCGGGCTTGTTCGGACCGGGAGTGTGCTTTCTGTGGTACTCACGGTTCGTTTCTCTGCTGGTTTAAGAATATGTGGAAAAGCCGCTGAAACTGGTGCTGAAAGTTGGAGGAAGCGAAGTTGCTGAACTCTCCACTGGAAATGCGGGACTTGATTCCGCCCTCTACGAAGACAAATCCGAGCATGAAAAACACAAGGACAGAAAAAGAAAAAAAAGAAAGAAAGGGGAAAAACAAGTTCCCGGAGAAGAAAAGGAGAAAAGAAGGAGAAAAGTTAAGGTATGTGTTCGTGCTACTGCATTTTAGGAAAAGGAAAAAAAAAAAAGTAGCAACTCTGCCTTTCTCTGGGCTTCACATCAGGAGGGCAGCAGATACGACTGTAACCTGTACTCTTAAACTGGAATACATACAAACTCAGCGTATTAGCTTTGCTGATTCCTTTTTTCCAAATACTTTTACTAGAAAAAGATGAGTAATCTGAAATTTCTCATTTTTTGAAAAATATTGGCAAGTATAAGAGTATAGAGAATGGAAAAGGGGGGCTGGAATTCTCTGTCTAAACAAATCTGTTTATATAAAACATAAGGAAGAACTCACAAGTTCTTAATTAAAAACTAAAAAAAAAGCATTTTCTTGTCAGGATTCTTAACATGGTAAGTAATTATAACACTTCTATTTTAAATACTATGAGTACCTCTAATCTTAAACTTGCTAACTATTTCTTACTTAGTTTTTCTAAAACTTTCAAAAAATCATTAAGGACAATTCTTTGTGCAGAGTTGTTCCTGTCCCACTTTTAAGGGACACACACCAGACAGCTGTCACATTTTCTAAAAGACTCATTCAGTGATACATTTCATTGTATGGCTGAATTACTTCAGTGTCCAGCAGATGGAGACAGTACATAAAGAATACAAGGTTTTTAAACACAAACTATTCTTATTTTTTAAATTTGTTAAGGTTTTTCTGAAAAATACAGAGAGCATTATGTACAGTAACAATGCTGAGTTGGTAGGTGCTGTTAAGTTTCCATAACAATCTTTCCTAGGAGGATAAAAAGAAACGAGATCGAGACCATGCAGACAGTGAGGGAGAACAGGAAATTAAATGCCAGACCCCCGTCAGGATGGAGCTGTCACCAGAGAAACCACTGACGAGCACTTTATCAAAGCAGGAAGGTAAGGGTGGGGAGGGAAGGAGTTTCTTTTGCTAATTTCGTTTTTCCTTAAATTGATTGGTGTTTTATTGTTCTTTGTTTCTATAGTAAGTGACCTGACATTTTTTGCCATCTCTATTTTTCTCCATCTCGTACAAAAATTTGGAATGGGGTTACTGTATCCTTGGTTTGCAGGGTGGTATCTGGTACCTCTGTCAGAGCAAGCAGAATGTCAAGTTAAGGGCACTGAGAAAAGTAGATCCCCTGTATGTATTGTGGGGTTTGCCACTGTATTCTTTTCTTTCATGTGGAATTCTCAAGTTGCAGCAGTTTTGTTCAGCTGATTTCTAACATCTTGGAATTTGAATGCCTCTTGCATTCAGTTCTGTCTCACACCCTTTCCCCCTCCCACTTCTTTTTGGTCTAGAGGTGGAGCAGACACCACTTCAAGAAGCTCTGAATCAACTCATGAGGCAGCTGCAGAGGTAAATGTCTGTGCTACAGGCTTTCAGAGCCATGGAATGACAATAACATACAACAAGGGAAAAGGCATATAAAAAGTTCACTTAAAATATTATTGCTAAGTATCTTGTGAAGAGGGCTATTTTAGGAATTTAAATAACTAGTTTAAGAACATGTACTTAGAAGTTCTCAGCTTAAGCTTCTTGTAAACACTTCCAGTTTCAAGTTTATAGTACTTTTCAAAACTTTCAAAACCAGGACAGTTTTCCAATAATGTGATGCTTTGTTTATAAGAACCTTTTGAAAAGAAAACACAAGAGTCTGGAATCAACTTGCCGGAACTTCTTTTACCTTAAGTTCTCCTGTTTTAGCATTATTTACTATAAAAAGGAAGTATGCACTTGAAAACTTAAAATGTGTTCTCTTATTGCCATATTAACCAAATGTCTTTTGATTAAAATAATCAAATTTGTAGTTCTTTCAGGTAGTCTCTTGTTTAAAAAAGTCTTTCTTGACTTTTGTACAAGAGGGGTTGAAAGATCTTTCCCTTTGATTTTATTGCTGGTAGAAACACCCAAGAACGTCACTGTGTGTCAGAGATCACTGAAAGTCTTGGGATATGTTACTTTACACAACCTGAAAATTAACATAAATACACACATTCTGTCACAACTTTTAGCAACAAGCTTTCCCTTCTGATCACTGCAGAGTAAGCAATGAATTACAAGAATACATTTTATGACATTTACTCCCTAATTTTTTAGTAACTTAATTATACTGTAATTCATATACCCCTTTGTGAAAAGAGGTTCATAAATCTCTGTATGAAAATCCAAAGCCTTAAAAGAAAAAGGTTGGTGGTTTTTTTTATCTTGGGAACAGAGGTACTTATCAAAATTTAGAAATAACTTCTAGAATATATTTGCAACACTTTTTTGGTGTATGGGTTTGCCTGTGAGATCTTTTCAACCTCGAATATGAAAGATTGTGCTGACACAAGCCATTTCTATCTTTATGTTTCTGATTCCTTTTCAACTTAGTTCTTTCCTTTCTGTTTAATTCCAAACTCTTTGTTGTAAGTTGAAACATAAAAAAACATCTTTCATTTCTTAACAGAAAGGATCCAAGTTCTTTCTTTTCATTTCCTGTGACTGACTTTATTGCCCCTGGCTATTCCATGATCATTAAAAACCCAATGGATTTTAGTACCATGAAAGAGAAGATCAAGAACAATGGGTACCAGTCCATAGAAGAATTAAAGGTAATGCTTTAAATTTTGACTACAGAGAAGCACTATGCTCAATCGATTTGAGCTCTAGGATTTTATGAGAATATGAAGATGCCAGAAAGAAGCAGTACTTCTGCTTGAAGAAATGCTTCTTGTTGAATTTTTGTAACCAAATAAGTTCTGAAAGTAAAAGAAAAAAGGGTTGTGGTGCGTAAAGCCCCATCTTGAAAAGGTTTACATTTTTAATAGATTTCTTCATTCATTAAAAATGTTCTTTAAGGGTTTTTTCTCTAGAGCTCAAGACACTGCATTTTCAACAAGGTGTAGTACACTGTATAATATTAACTTTCATTCCAAAATTGTTAATGTTTGTACAGGATAACTTCAAACTGATGTGTACTAATGCAATGATTTACAACAAACCAGACACCATTTATTACAAAGCTGCAAAAAAACTGCTGCACTCAGGGATGAAGATACTTAGCCAGGTAATAAAAAATACAAACCAAAATATTAAAAAATATGCTGCTTCTTTTTTTGATCCCTCTTTATTCCCTTTTTTTTTTTTTTTTTTAACAGGGATCTCATGAAAATTAATAAAATCTTGCTTAATATTTGTCAAATGCTTGTATATTGGAATTTAAATAGTACATTGTTTTAGTACTGCTGCCAGATCAGTTATTGAAGAAGTACTTGCATTTCATATTAAATTTTTAAACTGCATTTATATTTGCTAGAGTAAGAAAGAAAGAGCTGAAATAAAATGAGCCTCTATGGGTAGGTTACAGAAAGATTCATTAAAGAAACAAATAAAAGGATTTTGGTGTTTTTTAGGAGAGAATTCAGAGCCTGAAACAAAGTATAGAATTCATGGCTGACCTGCAGAAGACAAGGAAGCAGAAGGACAAGGCAGAACTGCAGCAAACTGGGGAAGATGAAAACGGTCCTGGGAAAGACAAAGGAGAATCTACGGATGGTGACACCAAAGCATTCAAATCACCTAGCAAAGAACACAAAAAGTGAAGTATTATCTGAGTAACAATTACAGGATACATCCTTTAAATGCTACTGAAACAAGGTGACTTAGGGACCAATGGATGCGGATTTCTGTCTTTGTGGTACTGCTTATACACTAAAACATCATCATCTCAAGGGAGCAACACTTACATGAAGTGTCCTCATATACTAAAACCAGATAAGTTTAGAATAATTTATGATACCATCATTTTTACATGTAGATAGTCTTGTACTGCTCATCAACTCCATTCCTTCAGTTATTTTCTATTTTAGTGTCCACTTTACAGAACTAGTATATTTTGGAGAAAGCTCACAAACATGACCTGTTAAACATTTTGGCAGAAATAACTATAAAGCCAGTTTCAGTTTTGTTGGGGTTTTTTTGCATAGTAGTTGTATTTGAAACGTGTAACTACCTAACTACAGAAAGTGTGCATCCTGAAATAGCTTTTAATGTCTAGAAATACCAGATTTCAAAATACTAAATACTTAGGTAGATAGATACTAGATTCTAAAATTGGGAGTCTCTAACATACCAAAAATATCTTAGTTAGTTTTATGGGAGACCTTTACACGGAGACATTTACAGTTACTAACATAAAAAAGCATTTACTGATGTGAACTTTTGTCACGTGCCTTCTCCAGTTGTACTAAATACTGTCATATTAAATGACACTTTTTTTGTTGTTAGGTGTTTTGCCTGGAAAAACCAGTTTACAGAGTTGGCTAAATTTTGTCATGGCACCCTTTAGTGCTTATTTAGCCAATTGGTGTTGAGGCTTCTAACTGAGTTGTCTTGGTGTTATTTGCAGGAAGGACAAAGACCTGCTTGAAGACAAATTACGAAGCAATAGCTTGGAAAGGGAACAGGAGCAGATTGATCGTATTGTTAGAGAATCTGGAGGCAAGTTAACCAGGCGACTTGCAAACAGCCAGGTAAGTCTGTGTGTGTTTGGTAGCTCCTTTCACTTTCTCACAAACCAAGCTTCCTCAGCATCTTAGGTCAGTTGAAACTCCTCGTCTGCTTTTGCTACAGCTCGCACCATTTTACACAATTGATATCTGTGTGACATCATAAGGGTAAAAAAGGCACATCAGTTGAATACACATGGAATTTTATCAGCAGGGCGAGTTGAGCTTACATTTTCTGAAATTGTTGGTGAAGTAGGAACGTGAAGAAAATACCTCAAATCTGACCTGTAAAAACCTTGTAGCTGTGAAACAGGCACGTATCTGATCAAAGGTTATTAACATTACAGGAGAAGGACCCTGGTCAGTAATCCTCTGCCCATTTGATTTTCTATATGAATTATATTTTTCACCTCTTGGCCCCTGCAGAAATATTAATGTTTATCATAATTTCTTAATTTATTGTGCCTATACCAATAATACAGTTATTTCTAGTGCAAATAAAAATTCATAGAGCAGCACTCACTTCTGAGTGACTGACCTTCCTTTCTGATTCCTACAGGTAGGAATCATTTTCATTGGATGTTTTTATTAGTTTAAGGACCAGGAATTTCAACTACTATGTAAATTAATATAGTCTTATCTTATTGCAGTGTGAATTTGAAAGAAGAAAACCAGATGGTACAACAACTCTGGGCCTTCTTAATCCAGTTGACCTTACTGCAGGAGGTAAGTTGACACAGTTCAGGTAACAAGCCACTTCCACCTACCTGGTCTGCTGCTTCTTTGCAGGGTCTGATCAGCAAACCCTGATCAAGAGCTGAATGCCTCTTTCAGTCTGATAAAGATCTGGGTTGAAAAAGCTGCAGCTGAGGGGTCATGCAGATGGGTTTCAGTTGTGGCTGTTGTTAGGAGCAGCTGAAGGGAGCCCTCAGTGGCTGTTGCTTCTCTGGTTTGTGTCAGCTCTTTGTGAGAGCTGCAAGAGAAAGCTTTTGCCATTAGAGAAGGGACTACCTGCCATGTGCTTGGGCACATTTCATTCTTGGGATCCCCTCAAGTCTGGTCCATGTACAGAGTGCAGTGTCTGCTGACCCAAAAGATCACAGATATTCCGCCATTGGGAACTGTCTGAGTCCCAGATCATTTTGTCACACAGACTTAAGTATAAAACATTTGGAGAAGAAAACACTTTGAGAATCATGTCCTATCAATTCTGAGTTTCTAGCTATGAGTATTGAATGAGTTTAAACATCTTCATATGCCTTCTCTGTTTCTGTGTTTTGATACTGAAGAGCCAGGTTACTGCCCTGTGAAGCTGGGTATGACAGCAGGAAGGCTTCAGTCAGGAGTTAATACGTTACAAGGGTTCAAAGAAGATAAAAGAAACAAGGTTACTCCAGGTAAGTGCTGATTTTTAAAACAAAAGAAAATACAAATCCTCCTTACATGAACAAAATGTGTTGATCTCGTTACTAGCACACCAATTTGGAACTAGGGTTTTTTTAATGACAGAGCATATTATGACATGTGTCCCTGCCCATGTCAGGGATGTCAGAACTAGATGGTCTTAAAGGTCTCTTCTAACCCAAACCATTCTATGGTTCTTTGTGTCTATGACACAACTAAACAGCACATCAAAATCCAGCTTAATTTGTACATACAAAAGAGGCAGTATATTTACTGTTCATCTGCATTGAGAAGAGAAACTCTACCAGATACAGAAAGGCTTTTGGTAGCTTTCATAGAGCCTGAGAACCTGTTACCAGCATCAGGCTGTTCCCACTGAGCTAAGGCACACAGTGTTGTTAATAACACATTTGCAAATACAAATGCATTTGATTTAGAGGTTACTAAAAGATGTTACAGTGTGAACAGATGGTGTTCTGTGAAAGCTTCTTTTCACCTTAAGAAATACATATCTGAAAATTTCTTTTCTGGGATTGTTTTACTGCCCCTTCTCATTTTATCTGATGCATGAATATCACAGGTAATAATTAACACTGTTGTTATTCATTAGTGACGTACTTGAATTACGGACCCTTTAGTTCCTATGCGCCAACATACGATTCTACATTTGCCAACATAAGCAAAGAAGATTCTGACTTAATCTATTCAACATATGGGGAAGACTCTAATCAAGGATCTTCCAGGTAATCCAGCCAGGGTGCACAGTACAGTTTACATGTCCAGAAGAAGTTATGTGCAACTCTCTGCAGTATGGGCTGTCTTTGCTGTGGAGCGATGTCACTGCTGTCTTTGTAGCTTAGGGGGGTTTGTTTGTTTAAGAAACAAATACTTAGTTAAAGAACCTGCCTCTAAAGTGAAATTAGCCAAGGTGGGAGAATTTTAATACTATTAATCCCTAGGAACACCCTGTCTAAAAACTTAAATGTATTTATAACTTACTGAAGGACCCACGTTCAAAGCTAGAAAAATGTTGAGTGGTACAAATGTTTATACAAACTGGATTTTTTTAACATTAATTAACATTAGTTACAGTCTTAAATGTCAAATGCTGACTAAACTACTGTGGACACAGAGGATAGAGGGAAAGCTGAATCCAAACACAGTGATTCCCAATGTAATCCTTTAATAGTGTGTAGTCTGCTTAAATTTCATATTATTTACTACAGTAAAAACAATTCTTATTGGCTTTATTATTCTTGATTATAAAAACTTCAAAGCCCTTTTGTGTTATGAGAATTTCACAAATAGCATACACATTGTATAAATTCGTATGAAATGGGGGAATATTTAAGTTCAGTGTAAACATGAAGGGCCTGTGCAGGTTTGCTTTTGTGCTGTTGCAGCTGCCTGAGTCAGTACACTTTTCCAAGTATTTCCAGTTTTCAGATTCGGAATGAGTTCCTCAGCTACAGAAGGCATGGCTGATTAAACTAAAGCAAGCCATTTAGATCAAATCCTGTGCTACTTTTTGTATTTTCTATGCTGTACATACTGGTTTGACCTTACATAACTTTTTTTCATTAAACATTTGGTATGAAAGTAGTTACCTTAACTATCTTTATTCTTTCAGTATTCAAGATTTTTTTATGAAATCCCAAGATTATCCTCTCTTAATGGCTGATAGTTTGCTTGATGTTCTAACTAAAGGAGGACATTCTAGAGCTCTCAGAGAACTAGAAATGGTAAGAGTGGATTTGAATACTGTCTGGTCTTTGGTTTTAGCTCACAAGCTCTAAAGCAAGAGAAAGAGGATGCTGATCCTGTTGATGGCTCCCTTTTAATTGGTAACATTTGAAAGTGAAGATTGATCTTTGCAGTGGCTGCATTTTCTGGAAAGGAATTATTCTGAGTTGTTAATTAGTGAAACATGAATATTAACAACATACTGTAGATATAGACATAGTTACACATTTTTTGTCTACTCTCCCATTCCCATTGTCACTGGCTACTGTTCCATTTAGTAAGAAAATAGCAGTATGTAGTTGTTTAGAAATGAGGTGATCATTGACAGGCTTTCTTGTTTCCATGAAATGTTTATCATGTTTCCATGAAGTTTATCATGTTCCAAGCAGCCACTGTTTAGTTTGGGAGAGTGAGTCAGTAGTTTTCTCCTTTACTTGGTGCAGTGCTTTTAAACTCAAATATGTGCCATGTAAAAATACCAAACACTGACCCTTCAAATTCCTAGGAGATTTCAATGATGTCTGTGCTAAACCTGACTGGAATCAAAGGGACTGATTTGATGACTTAATTGACTAATCAAGAATTATTTGAGAATCTCCTCAGGGCAGTTTCTGTTAACTAAAAGTCTTGCTTTGAGTTTCACATCGATGCAAACTATTGAAATAAACAGATTGTGACCTTTTACTAATGGGTCAAGTATTACCTAAATCAATACTAGAAATAGTTCATGGACTAAAGATCATGTTTTAGCCTCAGTTCAGACCTTTGCTTAGCATTATGAGGTCAGCTCTTTTCTAGTACCCAGTAGTGGCACTGACTGACAGGGTTCAGCCACTTACTGTTGCCAGTATTAAGAGAAATACAGTTATGTACAGAAACAGAAAACATTTCAGACTTTAATAACCACCCTTCCTTTTCCTCCTCATCCCCAGAAAATAGTCTGTGATGGTGACATCACATCTGAACTTTGCAAAGAGCAATAAAACCTACCCTGTAAAAATGTATTTTAGTAAACATCAATATCTCAGGAAAGACCCTAAAAAATAGCTGCATTATAATTTGCTTTACAGAGGAAGCTCATTATGACATTGTATGTATACTTCCCTTGAAAAATACTGCATTTTGTAACATTTTACTTTGAACTTAAAAGAGTAATTTTAATGCCTTCTTTAAAAATCTATTCAGCCACTGGAGGAAGCTGAAGGCCCACATGAAAGAAGTGATGCAATAAAAGATGCAAAGGTAAATTTTTTCTATATTAATTAACTACTCTAACCAACCTATCTAAGCCCAGAGGTATAAAACTGCCTAAAACTGCAAGGCCTGTGCAGCCACACTGAGACTTCAACACACCAGGACTCATGACAATGACATGCTCCTTTGTAGGCATTAGGAGACTAAGATTCTCCAGAAAGTTAAGTCTTAACTATATGTCAAGAGAACTGGAAGAAAATGCTTATATATTTTTGTTTGTGATTGTTGGGAGCTATAGTTTTGGCTCTATCTTAGTCTGGTTTGGTTTAACATGAACTTGTAATATAAATACAAGATGCCACATGGTACATGGCAGTCTGGGAGAAGTTCTCAGTTTGTGCCCCTGTAGGCACTAAAATAGAGCTCTCAAATCATTGCACCCCAACTTTGCTCAATTAGAGGAAGCAGTTCTAGGGCACAGGCTGCTCTCCTGAAGCCTTCATGTGCAGCCAGTGCCCAGATTCCTCCTGAATTTTGGCCACAGATAGATATTCAATAAAATCTGTTTTAAGTGAGCTCAAGGAATTTTTAAATTGTTTTTTAATTGGGATGCTGGTCTTAAGTTACTGCCTCATTTGTGCATGTCCCCAGTGGTTTTGGCAGATGCCATTTTCTATTTGAGTATGAAACAGTATAATACACTGAGTAACTGTAGAACAGTAAATTTCACAGGGTGTCTTTTCAGCTTTCCCTTTGTATGTTCACCTGTTTTGTAGAGCAGACTAACTTTAACATCATGTTCTGCTTTTCCCCAAACAATTTTGTTGTTTGAAGGCTGAGCTAAGTATTATCTAAATTATTACTTGCTGCCTTTTTTTTTTTTTTTTCCAGATTATGGAAAGTGATATTGCTGCCAGGTTGGATGCTGCTAATAATGACAGACTTACAGCACTAAAGGCAGTCACAAACTTTGGTATGCCTATAGAAGAGTTTGATTCTGAGGGTGAGTTTTCTTGGTAGTCATGCTTTTGATGTATGTCTGTAACTGCTTCAGTTTCTCAGTCCCTCACCATATTTTATATCATAATGTAAGTAAATATACTCTCTTGCTAATCAGGACTTTGTTTTCCTTTTAAACAGAGGCTGAAATCTTCCAGAGGAAACTTGATGAAACAACAAAGCTGCTCAGAGAACTGCAGGATGCTCAAAACGAACGACTGAGTACAAAACCACCCCCTAATATGATCTGTCTTCTGGGTCCATCTTACAGGGAAATGCACTTGGGTAAATATACTGTTTTCTGATCATTCTTGCAGAATTGATAAGTCCCCAGTTGTATCAACTCCAAGAAAGAAAAAAGTTCAAGAGCTATAGTGCAAAATATGTGCCCTGTTGGGCCTAGAAGATCAAATTTTTTGCATGTAAAGCCAAATTAAAGTTTTGAACAGTAATTGCAAGTATTTCCTCTTTATTTGTTTATGTCCTAGAACTGATTGGAGCTTTCTCTAATACCAGGGGGCAGACAATAGCCAAATACTTCTAACTCCATGTGTTTTACAAGTGTCTTTGAACAAGGGTTGCTTGAGTATAACAGAGTTGTTGTTGCAGGGACAGCTTTGGTGCAGGTTGCATCTGGTTACTGGTCTGTCATGTCACATCAGCTAATACCAGTCATACATTCCTCCAGCAGGTTTGTGTCTGTACATCATATATAAATACATGCACTTATCTTTTCTAGCGGAGAGAGTAACCAATAACCTGAAAGAACTTGCACAACAAGTGACTCCAGGTGACATTGTCAGTACATACGGAATCCGGAAAGCAATGGGAATCTCAGTTCCTGTACCTGACACAGAAGACAGCTGGGTAGATTTGACAGAGGGTGAGTATACAAAAACGTATTGTAGCATCTGTTCAACTGAAACAAAACCACATCTGCAAATCATTAAGACTGGCTTGTGGTAGGAGTTGCAGTAGCATAGTTCCAGTTTTCACTTCTCTCCTTTTTAAATTCTGTTTCAAAGGGAAAGTTGCTGTCTTTGGTCTCAGTCCAAAGTTAATCTTTTGCATATATGGAACGTTACTTTACCATCCATCTTACAGCATTGCCAAATTTTAAAGCTTGGCAATTAATTCAATTTTAGTTTTCCATTTACTGTGAATTTGCAAGAGAAGAGTTAAAATTCCTCACTGATAAAAGGACATTGTGCTTCCTTCTCCACCAGGCTTTCGGCTGTGCACTCCTTTTGCTTAATTTGGCCAGGTGTCGTGCTTTGTAAGTTGACAGCATGAGTTCAACTCACCTCATCCAGCCAAAAGTAATAGCTGGTTTTGCTGGATTAGGGAGTCTGGTCAGTGGAAAGTATCAATACCAAAACCAGACCTGCCCCTTGTGGCACATGCATGGCCAAAGCATACCCAGAGTTGGGATAAGACAGGGGAGAATTTTCTCTCAAGAAATGTAATTCACATATCAAATTTACTCAATCTGTGGTTTATAAAAGTTTTCATTAAATAACATTTTAACTGAAAGAGCAGGATTACTTCAGGAACTTATTCACGTTCTCAAGGAAACTGCTCAAGAAATTTCAATTTCAAAATTGTTGAGCATTTTCTTTTTCATAGCACTCTACCAGAGAAGCTCTGTAACACAACCAGCTAAAACATAGGATTTTCTGGGACTGTTGCAGTACAGCTAACAAAGAGCTATCTGCACAAATAGCAAATGACTTGAGGAGTGCTCTGCTGTATATGCATGTCTTTCACTTGAACTATTTATGTGTTCAGTGACCTGGTATCTGTTGTAAACTTTCAGACTTTGAAGAGCCTAAAAAGACCATCACCATCCCTGAAAGCGAGTGTGGCGCAGTTACAGGCTGAAGGTTCCGTTCAGTTTACAGCTGTTTGTTTGATTCTGTTTAAGAACCAGGTTAATGTCCTTCAGGTGCATTCACCACGTGTGTAAATTGTGTGTTAAACTACTTTTGTTTATTAAGTTTTGGAACTGATGGCTTTTGAAGTTGGAGGGTTTGTATTAGAGTTACTTCTGCTACATAAATGCACTAAATTATTCTTTTTGCGTTCTGTATTATTTTAAAGCGCCTCTGCAGCATTTAAGTTTTCATAGATTGTCAAGTGTCTGGAAAAGTCAAAGCATAGTGAAAATGTGCCTATATATTGTGCAGGGACTCAGCCAGAAGTTTCTAAATGCAGTGTAGTAGACTGAGTCTGGTTAGTGCAAATATCAGTAGTATCTGAACATGCAACTTCCCCTTTTTAAAATTACTGAGCATCTCTCTTGAACATGAGGAAGAGAAATAAACTTTTTATATAAAACCAGTGTAGTGTGATGAATTAACAAATGCTCAGCTTTGTGCGGCTTTGAATGTGCATGAATCTCTTAAAGAAACCTCACTGTCTCCTCACCGTATCCTAAAGCTTGGGGGCAAGGTTAGATGAGACCAGCAGGTGAGACCCACCTGCTGTCAGCAAAACACCTCATCAGGGTAGTACAGTGGACTCTGAAACACTCAGACAATTCTTCATATTACTTGGAGTTATTACTAGACACTGTCTGGGTAATGATTTTGGGCTTGCTTATGAGAAAGAAGCATATATTTAGAAGCCTCCTCACATTAAAAGTCACTTCCCTGTTCACCAAAGCTGCAGACAAAGCAGAGCAACAGCACAGCTCTTAGGCACATTCTAGCAGTGTTACAGGTGGAGCCAGTGACTCATCCAAGAAGGCTTTTCCCTGTGCTCATCACTTACTCTCTCACCATATCACAGTGATACACGTAGCTTTTACCACAGGCATCCTTAATTTTTAAGTGTTGCTTCTTTTTACCCCATGATTCCAGTGTAACCTTGGACTTGAAGAGGAATGTCATGTAGTGCTCCAGTTCAGTCTGATCAGCCATCACTGATGTGTGCAGTGGCAGGGAACTGAATTAAGAGATAACTTAAAGGCAAAGGAGGATCATGAATTCCACCCTCTACCCCCAGCCATGGCCAACATCATCCTTGCCCTCCCTTCCTTCCTCCTCTCTAGAAATGTCTGCAGAAATACTTATTTAACTGTTTTTAAACTTCCAGAAGTCTTACCTGTCAACCTGGTCTTTTCTCCAGTAGTTTCGGTTGTCCCAGAAGAGTTCTTAATAGTCACCACTGGAATTTTTTCAGTTCTAGGTAATTGCAGCTGAAATACTACCCAGGGAATGAATTTTTCCATTAATATGTAGGTCATTTTCATGCTACAAGAAAATGACAAGATGCACAGCAGCTGTGCCAGCCAGATCCTTACTGGCTCACTCCACAGCATCTCACTGCCCATCACCCACCTTTCATACATGCAGGAGGTGACCACCAATGACAGAACATCAACAACTGAAATTTCTCCTCAGCTCTTGAACACATGGATGTCACTCTACCCATTTTCCACTTGCAACTTTTTCTAAAAAGGTAAATATTGAGTTTAGTTTATAGGCAAACACAATCCTGTTAACTCTTCAGGGCTGTAAGGATATATATGCCTTCTATTCATGGGAATCTTCATCAAAATAATTGCAAACCCAAACATGTTTCAGGAAGTTTTTATTTCACTGTAAAAACAAAAGTTTGTTCTTTAAAACAGATGCCTAATTCAGATGTCATTAGCTCTTCAAATTAGATACAGTGCCATTTTTTCCATATAAGGAAAAAAATAATGCTGTAAGGAAGATATTTCTACTAAGATTTTTTCCTCAATGTTAAGTTTCACAGTTTGCTCTCAGAAGGACTGCTGAAAACAATTACTTAAATACAGTTTTTTCTTGAGTTGAACTTTTTCTGTGGTTGAATATAGCTCTCATATTACATAGTTCCAGTTCTGATGAAAAATTAGTCATCCTCTTTTTTCATCACACAGTTTCTAACTTCCCCAAGTACACCATGCACAGCACACCAAGCCAGCAGTCCTTTTAAACTCACAACAAAACCCAGCTCCTTCCCCTTTGAAAGCTGCAGCTCTTCGGGGCACTTCTGCAAATGAGGTTGAGTTGAAGTTACACCCAAGCAAGTTACCAGGCTGACAAGGCAACGTGTAAACAAAACCATTTCAAAATGCTGTTACAGCGAGTTTTCTTTCATAGATAACTTACATCTACATTCTACTAGTTCTGTGAACAGAAGCACTTCAGAGCCAGCTCTATTTATAGGCATAATGCACTTTTCAAAATGGATTCATGAGACAATGGTCACTTCACCTAACAGGACATCAGACTGCTGAAAGGAGCCTTTGACACATGCATGGTCCCTATAAAACAATAAATAAATATCTCAAAACAAATGCTTGCTGAGCACCTGTAACTACAAATACACAACATACAAGAGCAGCAAAAGCTATTTGAAAGTTTATTCAACTACAACACTGACTTGCACTAACGAGACACCACATATGATGCTTTCTTCTTCAGCAGAGCCCACGTGTGAACTAGACAACCTCAAACTAAGGTTTTCTAATATGCTGTTTTCTGTTGGAGAGCTACTACACACAGATTTGACCTACAAAATTGACAAAGGCTGCAAGCACAATTTTTAATCCACAGTTGGACAATATTTAGATTTGTTCCTGTCTTGAAACATAGTCACTTCATCTTCTAAAGAAATTACACAGTAATTAGAAAGCAGCAGTGATGCATAGGACTGCTTAAACACTTGTCCAAGATGGGTCAGTACTAAATCCAGAAACAGTAAGTGCTGCTCTGTTTGTAGAACAGTAAGGCTTAACTAAACAGGTGTTGTACTCACTGATCACTGTGCTGTCCAGCCCTACTGTATGTGGTGTGTGGGGAGGACGGGAGAATCCATCTTAGTTAATACATGTAGCTGGGCACAAGGTGTTAGCCTTACAAAATACGATCTCCACCAACAGAAAACAGATTAAGAGATTGCAGAAAGTAGAAAAATGCCGATTTAGAAATTAGCAAAAGCCACTAAAGCTTAAAAACTTTACAGACTAAACTAACTTACAGTAAGTCAATTTCCATGATGATATGAATGCTCTACTCATACTTTCAGCATTGGGGCTCTGCTGAAACATTTCCATTATGAATATTTTCTTTTGTAACCTTCAAAACCAGTTTGTTTCATAAACTGCATTACCTTTAAAAGGTACAGAAACCAGCCAGTGGCTAGTCAAATTGTAGAAACAAAAAAAAAAAATCCCAAACCTCACCTCAGACACAGTTCCGCTAATACAGTATCTGCTACTGTTTCTAATACTATCTTAATAATTCTGTTCTTCAGTTTCCAGCAATTCAGAACAGATTATTTTTTTTCCCTAAGTACCCCAAGAACACAGCACACAGAATTCCTGCCAGTGTCAGCAACACCAGGGGCTGTCAGAGCCTGTCTATCAGGTAAACCACAGGTGCCCCACACTCACCATCCCATGGATTTTTTGAAATTTAAAGTCAAAAATTGTAAGACTTACATGTGACTGAATAAAATGCACATGCAGATACTAAATAAAGAGACACAGAAGGAGAACATGTAATATAATGTAAACACGCTGAACTAGATGAAAGTTATTTCTGAACAGCTCTTGGTCACGAAAATGTTTGTGTGACACAAGGTTCTTCTGCAGAGAAGGCACGGATGATAAAATGACCAGATACTGTGCAATGTGGGTCTTTCCCCAAAGGGGCTCAGCACAGTTGTCATATGATACATTTGAGTTCATTTGTGTTCCTCTTCCCATTATTCAGCTGTCTTCTGTGAATCTGTTCAGCATTAAAAGCAGGATATGCAGTGCCCACGGTATCACTGCACATGCCTGGCCAAACACAATACTGAAAAGCAGGTGTGTGTCAAAGAACCAGCAGTGGAATGTTTTAACATGGTAATGAGTTCCACAGTGCATCCACACGTGTTGTTACTGGAGCTGTTAAGACTCCCACAGTGCAGGTAAGGAAAGAAACGAACTGAAAATGCTTCATGGCAATTCCAGGTAAGTCCTCAAATTATTTTAGGAAAAAGTAGTCTTTTTCAGACTGATTGTTGTGTGTCTTCTAGGAAATTTTCATAACTCTTCTTTATTAAAAAAGAATTCTCTTGAGGTGTAGAAGAGAAAGGAACAGCATATACATATTTTTAGAATAAAGTCCTTCACATAAGGAGGGAAATTGTAAGTCTTCACAGAAGGGAGGCAGTTGTAAGTCTGTTTTGATTAACTTCATCATAGCCTCAGTTCAGTCCCATACCTTGGAATTTGGCTGTCTCAGTGCAAACAAAGTAAGTCCTCAATTCTCCCTTGCCTTTGACATTAATGAGTCCCCTACATTCACACGAGTATCCCAACTCCTGTAGTATTTTGCTTGTTTCTTCTGTGACCTTTGTGTGAAAAGAATTAGAAAGTCTTATGAAATTCTTCTGATTATTCACATTAAAAAAAAAATCCACAGCCGATTAGAAATAATTCCTTAGACATTCCAAGGCTCATAGGTTTACCTGGATTTTCCCAAGTTCCCCCGTGCTCTCCATTCGACTGGCAACATTAACAGTGTTGCCCCAGATGTCGTACTGAGGTTTCCGGGCACCGATCACACCAGCAATCACAGGGCCATGATTGATCCCTGGATAAACAAAAGCAGGTGTCATTACTGAAGTAGAAAGTGATGTGACATACTGCTTCGTTATTAGATGTAGCTTCAGGGTCAAAAAAAACCCAACCCAAAACTTAACTCTGTGACACATTTCTGGCAATCAGTATCAACATTCTTCTATAAATAGTTGTACTGAGGCTCAGGAGATGTGAAGTGACTCACTCCTTATAAAATGGGAAGTCTGAGGAAGAGCTGGGGCACAATTCATGCCGCAGCAAAATTCTTTTTCTACTTTTGTTGTATGGAAATAAACATTTCTATAGTGGCAATACTGTCTTTAGTCAACGGTCACTAACAGGGTACGTCACTCCTCATCCGCACCTTTCATTTCCTCCAGACTCATCCAGCTGCAGTCTTCCTGCTGCTCCCTCCAGTGATGAGAAAAGCCCATCCGTGGAGGAGCTTGGCATATTTGAAAAGCTGACCAGACAATACTACCTTTGACCCCAGCACGTGACCTACGTGGTCCTATCTCATGTCCCACCGTGCTGGGCTGAAGAGCTCACATTCCTCACAGACAGAACCTACCAATGCGTAGGCGGAAGTTGTTGAAGGAGTGTCGGTTGATGCCATCCAGTTTGCTCATCAAGGCAATTCCGTATTCCACCATAATCCCAATGTGGGCATGCTGTCTCTCCCTATCCTGTGCAAGTCATAACACATATTATCATATCTATAAAATAACAAATTACTATT